GAGGGCTCCACCAATACGGTAGGCATCGTCGGATGAACCGCCTACTGAGACGTCGATGTGACCATTTGTAGGACGGACTTGGTTGGAAAAGTTTTTGAAAGTATAGTACTTGCCCTCCCAGTCGAAAGGCTCAGGGGAAGCCCACGCCCGTCGGAGAATCTTGATGTACTCCTCCTGGCGAGCATATCGCTCAGACTTGTTCAAGAAATCACCCTCACGGGCTTGCTCGGTGTCATCTCCACCAGCAATGAAGTGGACAACAACTCGGCCCTTGCCAAGCTGGTCAAGTGTAGCGAGAGCCTTGGCTGCGACGGTAGGGTAGAGGGTATTGGGGCGAAGAGCAATGACAATCTTGATTTGCTTGGTAACAGCTAGGATAGTGGCACCAATGGTGAAAGGATCAAAGGAAGAGGAGTGATAGGGGATCAGAGTGTAGTTGAACTCGTAATCATCAAGATTCCGGGCATACCGGACAAGGAACTCGGGATCAATCCCAGCACCGGGAATGGGGTTGAGCTCCGTAGAGGGGTTAGGGAAAGTTAGGCTGATGAATTCTGTAGGCATTTTGGCGTTTGATCATAAGATACTATCTGATTAGAAATAACGAAGCTGAAATGCAAGAGATATCTTAAGATCTTATATCACTACTAACGTTACCTCGAAGTTGTTTTAGACCCGTTGTATATGCGTGCTAGTCGAGTTTCATTATTAATATCGAGTATGGCGAAATATTGCGACAGATAGTTGATGATCACGCCTTCGCACCCACCCCGATCTCGGCTAATCAGATCAACTGTAACCTTTGACTGAGAGATTAGGATAACTTTGAAAAGATCAATTCTATTTGGATTTCATATATAGTCCAAGACGCGGTAAAAATATGTTTGTAGCTGAAATAAGTCTTCGTGCCTATCCTGACCCACTATGATAATTAACAACTTGTCCAGTCGATATCCTAACTCTATTCCCAGCATCATTAGCCCTCTGGCTCTTTAGATATTCCCCAAGGTTCCCCGCTCACTTCCCCTCCGGTTTGAATCCTTATCCTCTTATGTGACAGGGTCTATGATGGCGTCAGATTGAAACAGGTCCACCATAATGACACCTGCGGCCACCACCGACGGGTCGATGTACCCGAATTCGATGCAATGAGGATTCTTGAGCACCTCATTGGATGCATTTATCGAAAGCCTTATCTGGAGAGTCTAGAGAGTCCATCTCTGTGAGCTGATCGGTCCATATTTGTTCAGATGTGGACTATCCATGAAGGGTGTGTCGTTCGATCAGCCAATCCTTATTAGTGGAGGACGATGTCAAGATCCGACAATCCAGGCTGGACCCTTATTTATAAGCTGCGATGTTTATTCCCGCATACAGACCCTTGCCGAGTGGGATGTGAAATGTATCGGGGAGACACGTTGTTGACAACTTCATATGCCTCCGCCCCATCTGATAGCCCTCTTCTCACACTTCGTAAGTTGATCTATTTGACCATGGACTTGAAACTCTGACTAGACATGATCATGGGTTCTAAGTGATATATCAAAGATGTTTGAGTTTACACTGAGGTAGAATTCAGCAGCATATCGTTCGCAACACCGTGATAACCAGAGTTCTGCTCGAATCCATGTAGAAAGACGTGTAAGAATTGCACTTTCAAGTAGCGAGGGAGAAAGTGACCGTTACAACCCAATATATAGTCACTTTCAAGACTCTTCATTACGTCAAAGGTATTCTAGTGAAAAGCCCAGTATGCCGATCAGCACAACATGCTCAACAAAGGCTGGTAAGAAATGCATATTAGAAGTTGGATGCGTTAAGCAATTTATGTTTAATTGAGCATTTTTAGGGGAATAGTACCATTTAGATCTGAGTTTTCTATGATTTTGAAACGTCGGTGGCAGAGTTCAGTGATGAGATAGTTGCTAAACGTATAGTTGAGGAATCTAGCATATATAGAGCGGGTAAGGCCCTGTCGCTGCGTTTCCGTAAAAAGTCCCGTTGTGCTTCTATCACTTCAATTCCTTCTCAGTTCACATCAGAGCCATGGAATAACAATATTTCAAGGAAAAGGAAATCGGAGAAATTACTTCCACGAGATATCAAGGCAAGAACACATTGGGAAAATCAACTCAAGCCTTATTTAAGCTATAAGTATCAAGCCACAACAAGCTGTTCTCGCAACTTAAGCACAATATACCTAGTCTTTGGACATGGTCTTCCTGCAAAAATGTCCGGGCGGTACTTCCTTGCAAGATGTTAACTTAAAGAGGCCGCCACATAATCCCGTTGCCTAGAGAGCGTCAACTCAGGGCTGTAGACATCGGATGTTGTTGCCGTCTGAGCGAATACAACGCTGGCTTTGTGCAAGATAGAACCAGGAATACGCGTCAAATCTAGACTGGCAGTTCCTGAGCTCGCAATTTGTTTATCAAAGGTTTCAGTTGCCTGTAATAGCGGACGAGAGTTGCTCCGACCTCATACAGATGAAAGCTGCCGTGATGCTTGTCGGGCTGACGCCCCCCAGTTGCCAAGAGAGTGGCCGTTTCTTATTCTAGAGGATCGAGTAAACTAGCTAGAAGAACGGTTGAATATCTACACAAGTTGAACAAATATCATAACTTCTTAATGAGATAGTGTCGGGTTCTCGGGGAATGGGTTTCCCCGTATCGAAGGATCGTAAACCGGCCCACATCTAATTTCCGCGAGAGGCCGCCGACGTCCAATCAATTGCCTCAGATCACCAGTAAATCCGTTTCAAGGCCGTCTGACACTTTCAGCAAGAGTCAACAAAGGCTCTTGCTTGATAAGAGTAAACCTCCCAGAGTTCGGTGGAAATAGCACACTTGGGTCATCCATCGTTAGTAAAACCATATCTCATCATGCCAGCGAAAACAGAGTTTCTAAGATACGCGAGTATGTAACCCTCCACTACCAGCAGCCATACTGCAGCCTCCTCTGATGCTTGATAGGTCCAAATGAGATGCGGACTATCGCCCGTGAGGATGTTGGGTACTATAACGCAGTCGTCATTGGTGCAGTCTATGGCTTTGCCGATGGGGTCAACGTCAAGTCTCCTTTGACCTACTTCCACGCGTTGAAACGCTGCATTGAAGAACATCCCTTCTTCTGCGTTACTGTTGGGGACAGGAACACCGACAAGGGCTTCTATGAGCGGGTGGCTAGTATCAATGTCGAGGAGCACATCAGCTTTGTTGAGGACAAAAATGACGAGACAGACTCACTGGAAGCTATTGCAAGATCTATGGAAATAGAGATAGACCGTCCCTTTGTCGCTGGGATTCCACCATGGAGGATCGTAATTCTTCCCCTCAGCCTGTCTCAATGCCATGTTGCATTCTCCTTCTCTCACACCATTGGCGATGGCATCACGGGCGTTGCTTTCCACAAGACGTTTCTCGCAGGACTGAGGGAAACACCTGCAACAGAACCATCACCGATCGTTGCTCCAACAGACAAACCTCTCCCTGAACCATTCGACACGGCGGAAAGACTTCCAATCTCGTGGTCATTTCTACTGGCGCCAGTTCTCGCTGAGTACATGCCATACTTTCTTGTCCGATTATTTGGCCTACGTGTCTCGGCGTCCTATGTCGACGAAGGTACATGGACAGCAGCGCCCATCTTCTTCAACCCTGAGACATATCACAACAAACTCAAAATTCGACAGGTCGAGGCATCGCAGGTGAACAAGGTTATACAGCTTGCGCGGACTCGTGATGCGAGGTTGTCAGGAGTCATGCACCAGCTCATCACCCGCGCACTGAGCAAGGCAGTCCAGGACAACAACGTCACCAACTTCGTGGCGCAAACAGCTATAAATATGCGAAGATCAATCGGCATGTCCAATGACGTGGCGAGTGATATTGTATCGGGCTCCTACACTATTCATCCTCGCAGCGCTGCGACAGGTCCTTTGACTGAACAAGAGTGGGCATCAGCTGCTGAAGCTACCAAGGAGTTCGCCATGACTTCCACGAAACTCGAAGATAACGCCATTGGCCTGCTTCGATATGTCCCGAGTATAAGAAAATGGACCCTCGGTAAGATTGGCAAGAAGCGGGATTCGTCATACGAGTTCAGCAATGTTGGGGTCTTTGATGGCGACAACGCGAATAACGACAAGGTCAAGGTGTCGAAAATGACCTTTGCGCAGCCTGGTCACGTTGGAGGCTGCCCCATTTGTTTCAATATCGCCTCTGTAAAGAATGGCGATCTGGTGTACACGGTTACGTGGCAGCCCGGAGCATTGGGGCTTGGTGATGAGGCGGCAGAGGACAAGATAGTGGAGGAGATATGCGACCAAGTGCAGCGTGGCTTTAACGAGATAGCCTAAGGTAGACCTAGACTAAGGTATCTTAGTTTCCGCTTTGCGATGATAGCTTAATAATGTTTAATTTCTTTGCTTATTGGTTGATTTGTACTGCATCTGTTGAGCATCTCGATATTCTGCCTCATATCATGTTCATGTTCCATGCACAGAACAAGACCCTGCCGATCAATTGCAGCAGAGATTGTGGCTCAGCGTGTCCCAGGTTCGGACTCGGGGGACCCGATAACCCCACAAACGGTGCACAGCATGTCACTCGACGATATTAGTGGTTCAGCCCTGCACCGTTAGCGGTTAGTTTGAGCTTACAGGCTTGTGTGTGTGTGCGGCTGTGAACTGCGCCTACCTGGTCCTACAGTCCTACTGTACTGAGTGGTCTGCGACATGAAGAAGCCTTGTCGGCTTTTTGTCAGCTAAGGCGGATTTAATCACAAGCTAAGCCAAAGCTGCTCGTCTGCTGTAACGGGAGACATGGAGCGATCGTGGTATTTAAAAGGCGGGGGGAGGAGCTGTCGTTTTGGGTTTCCATCCATCATCATCTCGTCTACCTAGTTACCTATCTACTCGTCACTCAAACGATCCTATTGATCACTTTCTCATCGATTTATTCTCTACCTAGTACCTATAACCTATAACCTACAGAACCAGCATGTCCGCCAACGATTATTACGGCAATGGTAACAGTGGCTACGGCCAACAGGGTGGTTATCCTCAGCAACAGAACTATGGCCAACCTCAAGGCTATCCTCAGCAGGGCGGCTATCCCCAACAGGTATGTCCCTCATCTCAACGCTTGTATGCCACCACTAACAACATTCCAGCAGCAGTACTCCCAGCAACAACAACCTCAGGGTTATGGCTACAGCCAGCAGCAGCCTCAATATTCCTCCCACTCGCCTCAGCCCAGCTACGGCTCGCAAGCCCCTCCCCAGCAGCAGTACGGCCAACAGCCCACCTACGACCAGCGCGGCTCATCGTCCTATCCTCAACAACAGCACAACAACCCTCAGTATGGCGCCCCTGCTTATCCTCAGGGAGGCGCTCCTGGACAATACCCTCCAGGCCAGCCTGGCCCCGACGGTGATCGTGGTCTAGGAGCTACTCTCGTCGGTGGAGGTGCCGCTGCTTGGGCTGCGCACACAGCCGGTGGTGGACTTCTAGGCAGTCTCGGAGCTGCTGCTGCTGGTGCCATCGGTGCCAATGTGCTCGAGAACAAGTTCAAGAAGGGCAAGAAGGACAAGAAACACAAGAAGGACAAGAAGCACAAGTCCCGCGGCATGGACAGTAGCTCCAGCAGCAGCGATTCTGACTAATGATGGTTGTTCATGATGGGGAATGGAGTTTAGGTGTTGTAGCAATTATTTTTTAGATTTATCTTGCGAATACGATGAATACTTGGTAACTTTCAACTTTATGGCGTTTTCCTAAGTGATAATGGACTAAAGCATATGCAATACTACATATCATTTTCTGAGTTTAGATCCTAAAATAAGCTTATATGCCAAGCTTTCAGGCTTCTTGGCTAAAATCATAGCTATTCCCGAATCCTCGGTTCAGATAACCCTCAAGCACAGCCTCCCTACTCGCCCAATCCACTGGCACATCCAACCCCAGCTTTCCCTCTTTTTCTAGACCTTCTAGAATAGGCTTTATATCTTCGCCCAGCTCGAGTCTCATTCTGTTCCTGAACCACGGCGCAAAGTGGATCATGGCGAGCATCACCCTAGTCTGTTGAGTAGTATTAGGCATGCCAGCATGCCAGAGTCTGAGATCGCGCACGACGATGCTGCCTTTCTTGATGACGGGCTGCAGGGGCGGTGAGATCTTTTGCCGTTTTCGCAGGAGTTCTTCTCTGATACGACCGCTGGCTCTCTCGCCATGTGCACCTTCTTGTGCATCGAGACCAAACCCATTGTGGGTGCCAAGCCAGATCTCTGTGGATCCATTCTCTGGTTTAGTTGTGACCAGAGGAATGTTCACGACAAGGGCAAAGGGATGGTCTGGATGTGCAAAGTCCGCGTCTGAATGCACGGGCTGGCGCTGAGGAGTTCCTCCAGGGAGAGTTGCCATTGCAGAATTAGCAGAGCAGAACGTCCACTTTGGCCGAGGGCCCATCATGGCAGTGGTGATTTGTGTGGCAATTGGGTCTGAGAGATGTAAGTCAATTGAGTGAGGTAGGACAAATTCGGAGAGGTATACTGACTTGTGAAGATAGAAGGGCTAAAGTATTCAGAAACAGGGGGGGCATCTTGCTGAATGTTTCCCTTGTTATAGTTGAAAGGGCCCTTGTCACCTCGAGCCTGTAGGGTATGAGCATCCTCAATCATCTTCTCATTGAGGATGTCGATGTCCTCGTGAGGGACAACATCTTCTACAACAACCAAACCATCTCTGTGCATGTGTCGCACAGCTTTCTCAAGATTTCTGGAGTCAAGAGTCCGATTCTTTAATTCTTGAGCTGAAGGTCGAACAACTCCGACCCGTGGAGGTTGTGTCATTGTTGCAAAGGTGCGTGCATGTTTCGCCAAAGCCGAGGAGAGCCTTTGGGTGCGGAACATGATGAAGACCTTGGTAATAATATTTGATGGAATTTAGAATATTTAGAATGAATCTGAAGACCTGTTATTGATATTCCGGGGAGTGGAAAGACCTTCTCATTTATACTCGTAATGAGTAAACTTGGTGATGTGGGTTTTCCGAGCTCGGGAAACCTTTCCCCACTGGAATGGATTCTTGGCCGCCACGATACAACAGCTTGTCGTGAGGAGACTTGTCAATGAGATTGCTTCATGTAACATTTTGCCGTGGCTTTGGCGGTGGTAAAAGGCCAAGTGGCTACGGTATTGCCACTCTAATCTTGGCCCATCCCCCAGGACCCTTTTAGATCACCAACGAGTCGTTCAACTGGCCATCCTATTGTTGATTTACATGCGAGTAGTTGCCGAATCAGCTCTTGCTGTGACGCCTCGCCTTTGATAAATCTTGCGCCTATTCAAACGTTGGATTTCATGGCGTAGACGGGATAGTATTACTTACAAAAAGCTATTGGCCCGAATGCATTTACCAGAACTGATGGCACCTTGGCAGTGAAAGCAATACCGCATATCTCAAGGGCAAAGTTCTCGAGAAACTGTTCTTTGGACTGAGCTTCGAGTTGAGGAAGCTGAAGACCGCCTAGGTCCTCTAGGCTTTTTGGAGAAGTGTAGATGCAGACTATTGTCATGGCCACGAGGTAATAGTGAAGTATCGCGGCTATTTCGCATTAGAGACTTGGCTTTTTTGGGGAGGGGAAGGACTTAGCTCACCATGACAAGGCTGTAGGAACCATATTGCGGGAAGTAGATGAGATGTGATAATATCACCCTGCAGTCTTGAGTACGGCTTCATGTGAGGGGGACAAGAATCGCGCCAGCGCTTGAGGTCTTCCATTATATAGTCCCACTGAAGTCCATCAGTGTCTTGTCTGAAAGACATATTGATTATCTTGCCCAGGATCAAAGTAATAGAATTGAGATAATCTTGGTCAGAGGTATGCTGAATGGTCAATGGTGTGCTCTCCAGGTCCATCTTTAATGGACACTCCTCAAATAGGCTGAACGTAATGTCCTCCCTGAGATAGTTCCAGAAACCCGCACCTAACAAACCCGCTTGTGGAATACCTGAGAGCACATCATGGAGCGAAGCCATTGAGTAAGCACCACGAAGATGCATGTTGGGGTCAACGTCGCCATCAAGGATCTCATAAGAGCGCAAAAGACAAGTCGCTGCGAGCGCCACCCCTCGGCCGATAAGTTCATCGCCTGCGTCCAGCGCGATGAGAAATTGGACACAGCGATGATGGTAGAATTCAGCGACTTTGCGGAAACTTGGAGCTGATGTTTTACACGCATGCATTGAAGAGAGTGCGATGACAGCACAGAAGAGAAGAGGCTCGTCTAGGGCGATAGACGGAACTTCAAGGCCAAAGGAGCATGCTGAGTCACTGAGATCATACCATTCCGAGATATTGGAGGTGTAAGAATGGAAGAGGCGCGCTATGTTTTGGTCTTGTAGAGCTGTTTGTGGAGAGTCAGGATTGGGCAATTCTTGGTGGTGGACTTGCTGAGCAGTCAGCTAAGTACCTCAGAAGGAGTGAGATGACAGACTGAAGCGTGTTGGTTTCTCTGATCTATCGCAGTAAAGGCCGCTCGTTGTGCATTGTCCACAGATGGGAAGTGCTTGATTGCCTGCTAAACGCATTAGAACAAGGTCTTGGAAGTAGTATCACTCTTACACTTTAGTTTGCGACGACGGCAAGTATTGCTTCATCTCTGTCAGCTGGCGGTGCTTTGCCGTGGCGATTAATCTTACCAAATTCCTTTCTTGGTAGGACGTGGCATCTTCACATCAGATCCGAGTCATTAGTTGGTTATGTTGTTGGATGGAGGAGGCAAGTGGATGGATGTTGGCTATAATATTGGAGTCATTCCAAGATTGTGGGGTTTGCTTCAATCCAACATGCGTACAATACAATGCGATAAGCAATGTGAGCCAACGTTCCCCTAGATACTCAAGCGGCACCAGATTAATCAAGTATTTAAATTGATCTTTGGCTCATTTCACGGATTCTGATACTTTCAAGGATCAGATAGCCATGGGTAGCAGGAAACCTTAGGACCTCAATCCTACATAACAAAAGGATTTAGGTAAATTATCATAAACTTAGGGCGGTCTTTGACAAGTTTCGTAATAATTATCTCTATTTATTATTAAGAACAAAATTTTCTTGCCCCTTCATGTATCATTATTGACGAATCTCTCATCTGAATGACGCTCAACCCATCATGGACCGCAGATAATCATTCCCAAAAGTCGTGTGAATCAAATCATTAAATAAGAGTCTAGGCTATCTAACAAACTATCGCCATGTCTTCATAATAATCTAGTCATCTATGCAATTTAATCACAAACGGCAACATCCTACAGGATTCTCAACATCCCGTCTGCAATAACACGACGACTCGATAGGCACATCCACAAAAGCCATGGCCGTCTTAAGCTGCTGCTTTACGATCCGCGCCTCGCCATCAAGTCCCAGCTTCACTGCACACTCGTGATAGCCGTGGAGGGCCCAAACGTTGTTAGGGTGATGCCTTGCCCTGAATAGCTTGTTATTCAAACCGAGGTCGGTGCGATATACTTCAGCAGCTTCTTCGATGCGGCCTTGTTCCATGAGGAGGGCGGCGTACGCGTGACGGGCGGGTTGCATCCATGCCCACGGCTCAGCGTATCGCAGACCATCATCGAGATCGATTGACTTTTGAAGATGCTCAAAGGCAAGCTCAATGTTGCCTCGTCGGTACTCAAGTTCGCCATCAAGCATGGCTTCGGCCACAGCCAGGACATCAAGGCACTTATTAGGGTACTGTGTCCGAGTCGGTGGCACCCGAGCTTTGGCAGCAATGAAGAGTTCTCGCTGCTTAGCTGACTCTTCGACATTTCCCAGCGCCGCATAGGCAACACCTTTGGCATAGTGAATCGTCGCGGTGGTCACGCAGAGCAGTTCCTGGTCCGTGGGAAGTGGCATGTCAATGATTTCCTCCCATTTTCCAAAGCGGATCAGGATATGTGGACGAACTGATCTGAAAGTCTCCAGCCAGTCCGCCATTGGGGGCGACTCAATTCGTAGATCTTGGTCTGGAATGGCCACTTCCATTTGGTTCACTGCCTTGATCGAGACACCGTACTGGCCAGCAAACATGGCGGCGTAGATGAGTGAGTGGTAGTCATGCATGCGATATATGGTGTAGAAGTCGCCACCACCCCGAAGGGATACAAATTTCTCATCAGCCATCACAGCCTTTGCATTAGCAGAGATGGCACGTCGATAGTCTCCGATGAGGATGTCCAGATGCGAAGGCATGTGAGCTAGGTGGCCTGCTTCATTCGCCAATCTGCGAAGATGTTCGGCTGCAACGAGACCCTTTTCAGGCTCGGTCGACATCTCGGTGACGTGGATGTAGGCGTGCAAGAGTCCGATATGTTCATACCCGCCCTCCTGAGCTATGCCTCTTTCAAGAACTTGTTGAATCTCGAGGACCTCAGAACCAGGCGCAGGCTTCCCTGTTCGGACGTCCCACAGTGCCCATGGTGTGAGATTCATGAGTGCATCGGTGTACAGGGTTGCTATATCGAGATCGTCCTTGAACTCTTCATAAACAGGTCTCATGGCTTCCGCGTAGGCACTGTTCCAACTCCTGGCATGGTTCGTGTCGTTCTCATCTTTGGGATAGCGATGTCGAATGGCACCAGCAAGGGCTCGTTCAACGGGGCTCGCTTTTGAGGCTAGAGATTCGGCATTTTTGCAGGCCTCAAGACCTTTTAAAGTGGTGTGCTTGAGATCGTTCCGGTCGAATGCTTTCCATGGCTTGTTGTAGTTGGGACCAAGAGCAAAGGCAAGGCCCCAATATGCGAGGCAGCATTCGGGGTCGATTTCAATGGCCCTTTCAAAACAGCGCTCTCCTTCAGCATGGTTGAAGGCGTAGCACCAAACGATGCCATCTTGGACCCATCTCTTGGCCTCTGGCTTAGTGGTAGTAACGTCACGAGTGAAGGGCGGGAGAATAAATTCTTGTCCGAGAGAGTCATCTGACTTGTGTGTGGACTGTGATGGCCCCATCTTGAACAAGCCAAGAAGTATAAAATGAGGCGTCCTTGTAACTCAAAATAAATAAAAAGGGCGTGTTCACGTAGATGGACGTGGATGTTTGACGGTTGCGTTGCTGCTGGTCTTCGGGAGATCGCCCTAATATTAAACTTGCGGAGTAAGGTAAGGTAGCTGAGAATGCCCCACTCTTGGCTTGTACTGTACCACGTCAAGTCAGCAATCAGTGACGTGCGTGTCAATGGCCGATTACGGAGTATATAAACAATCTCTGCGTGGGTGTTGATGAGGTGCTGATAATTAAGACTAAAAGAAGAATTCTTATAGAGACCCAAATTGAAGAAGGATGGAGGAATCTGAGATAAGACATCCTGCCCCTGTAAGCCAATCTCCAGAGAAACAGCCACTACGGAGTGTCCGTGATATATATGATCCATACACCGCCGTTGTGAGCTCATGTGACGCAGAGAGTTGCAGGATATAACGTGGTACGTAGAATTTAGGCTTTTTATATTGAAAGTATGCTAAACTCATCTAGATTGGTCTAAATATTTCCTTTATTTAGGATCAAGGATATGTATGTGCTTATACAGTAGCGGCAGATTTGGATGAGCCAGGCCGTATTAGTGACCACCTTACTGTCAGCATATATCTATCTCGTGAAGTAGTTGTCTCTTTGCTGGAAACTCCAATCAGAAGCACAGCGATAATTTGCCGTTAATAAAGCCAAGTAAAACAGAATGAAGCAAATCTGCTGCTGTGGCGTGTTAAGCTTGTATCTAATCCCACTGGGACAGGTTATGAAAACTCTAAGCTACCACCGACAAGTTATCTATATATATCTCCCCTTTCCCCTGTTTCTGATGGTTTTCGGTTTGAGCCAGCCGACTTGACCCTCGAATATAAACATGGGCAGTCATTTCAGACGTTTCTTCAATCGTCTTCGACGGAAAACCATTCTGAAAGATCCCCGTGGAAATCTCATTTGCCTCCCCCCTGAGATCATCCTAGAGATCGCCGAGCACCTCTCCGATATCTCGTTGATCTCACTCAGCCTCACCTGTCAGCCCTACCACATTCTTCTTTCAAGCTTCACCCGCAATGTCAAACTCGAAGCAGCAGATTTGGAAGACTTCCTGCAGATACTGGAAAAGGATTGCGCCAGCTCGTACTTTTGTCATATCTGTACCAAGCTTCACCAACGCGACCAACGAGGGTACATTGACCCTTGCAAGTGCTATAAATGGCGTTGTAGAAAGAACTGTGTGTACCACTTCCACTTTTATCTGTGGACCGGCTCTGGCTTGATGATAACATATCCCGAGGCGCGACTTATCATGAATCGCCATTTCAACGGCCCTGCCCACGGACTCTCCCTCGATACGCTCAACCGCCACGGAGATATCTTTCCATACAAGGGTGGCACAGAACAATGGACATCCATTGCTCGCATAATTCAAGATGAACTATTCCTCCAAAGAACTCTGGTGATATGGTTTCCCGAATACCTAGGAGTGCAGGAACTCCTTGACCACCTTTACCTTCCTATATGCCTTCATGTTAGCAACAATATTCAACGCCACGACGACTGGTATGCACGCATCGGTCTTTATACCTTACCAGAACTGGTAGAACTATCAAGGGGTTTCAAGTCCTGTGATAACTCACTAGGGTCGTGCCCCATCTGCTTTACTGATTACTCCATAACTATACGCTGGGGGAGTCACCAGAGGCAAGGCTGGCACATAGAGGTCGCGAGTTACCAACAGCTTGGTTCTTGTCGATCGCCTTACGATTGGAAGTGGAGACTTGCCGCAGAACGGAGTACTTGGAATGAACCAAGATGCCGAACCCAGAAGCCGGGGCTCGTACGGCAGCGCTGGATGTGTCCAGATGGCCTCGTACAACCAGAGGGAAATTATGTTGGCAAGGCTCGCCGACAGCCCGGTAGTCTACTCGGCTCGAGGCGCTGTCCATGGGGAGCCGGGTGCTATGGACCAGAGTGTGAGGAGCACTACAACGCAGAAGAGAACCGCCCGACGCGTGTTGACCTTTTAGGACGTAATCTTACCTGGTGGTACCCGACTGAAGGTTAGCAGACGAACTGCCTTATCTGGCAGATGCAACGAGCGAGAGGGGAGGCAACGTTTTTGCAAATACCTTGTTGCGGTGCTGTTCATATGAACTGCCTCATAATTACGAAACTAGGGACAAATTCCTGGAGAACAACAACATTACTATTCAACGCTATACTATACACCTAGCTTCGCAATCACACATACGACCACGTCCATCTCCTACAACATCCAATCTTAGCCAAAGAGGTGCTCCTGCTTGGCTCCCTCAGCAGCCTGCAGGTAGCTAACGCGATCACGGCAGTAAAACTCGACATTGATCTTGTTGTCGAGGTTGGCTTTGCCGTTGTCAAGACCACCAGCCTTGATGATGATATTGCCAGGCATGACGTCGAGGCGAGTGTACAGGCTGGAACCACAGTCACCACAGAAGAAGTGGTGGTTTATCTTGCCCGAGGCGCCGGTGACATCATATTGCTTGGGAGAACCTGGAATACATTAGTGTCTGCTTGGTAGAGAAAATTGGCTAAAAGCAGTACCCTTAGTGACTGAAAAGTCGCCCTCAGCGACAACAGCATTGGAAGTAAAGGCACCGCCAGTCCACTTCTGGCAATCGAGGCAGTGGCACAGAGCCGTAATAGCAGCGTCGCCTATCTAGTTAGATGAATCCGTATTATATGATTGGTTCAAGGAACTTACTGTCGCTCTTGTAAGCGATGGCACCACACATGCAGCTACCAGTGAGAGCCATTGATGATGATCAGTGAATAACGAATTAAGCACAAAGCTAGAGTATCTTTGGGAAAGCGTGAGTTATCAAGGTGTCTATGAGACAATCTGTGGAGTGAAGAAGCTCTCAAGGTTCTCGGACATGGGATATATATACCTGAATAGATCCCCGCACAATGAATGGGGATCAGTGAGTAATGATTCCCAAGACTGTCCTAGTCGTTTAAGCAAGAGCGGGAGCTAGTTTGATTAAATTGCTACCTGCATCGCCAAGTGGAGAGCTATTCTACGAAAAATATCTCCCTTTGCGTTGGAGCTATGTCAGAGGCTTGAGGGTAAGGAAGCGAACTCCCTTTCTCCGGAGGATTCGTGTGAGTTCTTGACACCAACGACATTGATGAAACTCTTTACAGACTAGGTCAGCAGGATCAAGTTTGGAATCAACATGTTCGTTCAGAATGCAACTATCGTCGGATCCGCGTTTGGAGAGTGGGGAAATACGTATGTATCCGGATAACAGGTTCCCCAGACATTTTACGTACCATGATTGATTCAGGAAAAGGCGGAGGAATTAGCTAAGAAGTCCGAAACGAATTAGATCAACAGATTCTCTGGGGAAATGGTCATCAACTCTTGGCATGCACTTATACTACCGACATCCGCTCCACCGATGCGGGGAATGCTCAGAGTCATGAGGAATCATCACCGACGATCCGGCGGCACATGAGATCAAGCACAACGAAGCTTTGGGATATTTCATGAATTTAATGACTAGCTTATCTCTGGACTAACATCAAGAACTATATACGTGCAAAATTGCACCTCAGTCGTCATTGCAGAACACCTCAACCAGTCACCACTTCTGCCGGACAATCGACCACGTCTAATCCCGCAGATGGGCAACCTCAGGCTTCTCACTGCTGATTCTACCGGTTTCCTCGTCGTAATGCTCATGACGGTCAGCAGCCTGCTCCATAGCCCCATCACCCATGGCCTCCCTGGCGTCAGAGTCGTGAGCAACATCGAACTTGCCCCTCAAGTTCTCGGGACCGATGAACGTCAGAACAATGACGTACACGTACACACAGGCCATAAAGATGCAGATGACTTTTCCGTAGTCGTAGCGAGTCTGGCCTTCAGCGTTGTCGGGGAGTGGGAAGTTCTCGCCGAGACGAGCCTCGATGGTCGACGAAGCGGAAGACACAAGGTTACCGAGCTGGTAGGATGTGCCAACGACGAAAGTACGGAAAGCTCCGGGGGATAATTCCATCAGATGGATAGGAATGACACCCCATGCTCCCTGGACACAGAATTGCTGGAAAAAGGCAGCCGCAATGATTGAAGAGTCGCGGACAAAAGTATAGGGATAGAGCAGGGCGCCACCAACGATGCAACAAGCGATGATGCTAATTCGTCGACCGATAGATTGACTGCTGAAACCGACGACAGTGCCACCAAGCATAGCTCCTAGGTTAGCCACAACCTGGGTGACAGTGACCTTGTTCTTGGAAAAGTTGAGCTGGTTCTCCAACATGGTAGGATACAAGTCCTGGCTGCCATGGCTCATGAAGTTGAAGCCGGCCATGAGAAGGACGAGATAGACCAGCAGAAGCCAATGGTGCTTGAGAGCGACTTTGCCTTCTTTGATGAAAACCTTTCCTTTTCCATCGGCTCCAGCAACTTCTCGTGCGCGTTGGCGTTCCTGGTAGGCTTGTGTCTCGGGGAGCATCAGACGAGCGATGATGAAGAGCACTGGGGGACAAGCGCCGAACCAGAAGAGAGGACGCCAGTCGTGAGATGTTGTATCGACGAGACCGCGTGCAAATGCAGCACAGAGAAGGTATCCGAAAGCATACTGCAACAATTAGATAATGGACCTTAGTGAAGCGGGATATTGCTACTTACACCTTGCTGGAGCATACCACTCATAAGACCACGTGCCTCCTCTGGACAATCTTCGAGAGCAGTGGCGGCAGCATTACCATAGAGACCACCCATGGCAACGCCAAAAAGGGCTCTGCAAGCTAGAAACTGCTGGTAGGTTTGACAGAAACCAGTGCCCTACAATGAATGATATTCCGTCAGCGACTGTTCGGACATATCTCGTAGATCTCTTGGCATCGGCCTCGCCAAGCCCCCAATCATCAATGTGACAGGGGTGTCTGTAGGGCTGTAGGTACTCACAAGTTCAAGAACAATGAAGAGAAGGTTGTTGACCACGAAGGGCCACTTTCGACCGTACCGATCACTCGCGATACCGAAGGCGATAGAGCCAACGGATCGGAACATGAGAACGAGAGTGATACCCCATGTGATGTCGGTCTTGGATTTGTCAAAGGTTTTGGCAAGACTTGTAACGGTGAGAGATACGGAGAAGAAATCGAATGCGTCCCAGGTCTGTACATCATGGGTCAGTTATTGGTAGCATGCATGGTTCAATTGCAAGGAGAACGCACCCAAGCTGCAAAGGCGACAAAGAAGAATGCCCATTGCTGGGAGTTGAGCATGCGCACGAGTTTTATGGGATTCGGGACATTGTGCATGGGAGGTTTGAGCGAGGAGAATCTTGTGGCTGCGTAACGACCTGGGGACATGCCCTCGTGAGGTGCGCGAGTGTTGTACTCGTCTTGAGTCATTGTGGGCTCTTGTTACCTATGGTATCGGAGATTGTACGAGTAAGGTACTAAGTGAAGAGTATCAGAAGTGACCCTCTGGGGCTACGAGTTGGCGTTGACTGCTATCAACAACAAACTCGTGTAAATGGAAGGAAGTCACCACGATGGATGTTAAGGTATGAATGTGAAGGAGTGAGTATCAGTAAAGACACACAGTCAAAGTTGTTTATCCAAAGACCAACCTACCTACTCCAAGCGCGGATCATCCTCACTTATATACTCTTCCCCATCTCCCCCAACTTGACCAACTCCTCCAAAAACTCAATGCACCATCTCCGAACCGTGAGCGAATATCCCATGAACCTATCATAATGATACCCTTACGATACTAGCATAAACAAGGGCTAGAAGAGTCGGGGGGTCCCCATGATTCGTAGATTAGAGGGTGCCGGTTCCGGAGGCGTCATGTTTTGATTCGGCATCTACGAGGTAGTGCTGCAGATCTCGGTGTTGGGGGTTGCAGAGACAGGGATCTCATGCTGTTGTGTGCAATCGTTGCTAAGATCCACGTTACATCACACCGTGGAAGATTTCCTGCCTCTGTTTGTGATATCTCAGCTTGTGCAAGCCATCTCGATTTATGATTAGGTACTCTCATGAACAACTCTCAAGCTTGTCCAAGCAACGCAGGTCAGCCAGCAATACCAAAATGTCTTCTTCTCCCTTATGCTCACTCTTACACTAACCTGACATAGCTGCCTGTCTTCCCCTCACGACTTATAGACTAGACGTGCCTCCTCCGCACTACTCAAACCTGGAGAAGCTTCTTCTATCTCCAAGTCCCAGTCCCCGCTTCCATCCCGGCACACGACGGCCGATAAAGTGGAGAGGGATGCCCGGAACTATTCTACTTCGAGTAAGCGGCCCCTGGGAGAATCGGCAATCCGGCATCTGAAGTGGAACCCATGTGCCTACATACGACTTGACTTGACATCACCAGCTGGCATCACTCCAGCTTGCACTTTTGACCAAGAGCCATTTTGAGGAAGAATACGGGACGAATGACTCACAGACGCCAACATCATTCGATAGATTCTTCCCTAGAAATTAACGCCAGCATCGTATACCAATTAAACACAAACATAGCGTCTCCTCCTTCAGCACTTACCTTGAGCTTCAAACCCTCCTCCTTCTCCTTCTCCTTCTCCTTCTCCTTCTCCGCGTATCAACCCCCTCCACAGCTTATGCCTTTCCACAAGCTTGTTTCCCCGGAAAATCCCTCTTACTCAAATCCAACCCATCACTTACGCCCGCTGATCTCTCTAGCTCGTCTACTAGCCCTTTTCCAATCCATCGTTTCAAGCTTGAATGTAACCAAAGTCCAACCTCTCTCTTGCCGGTCCTTCCAGAAGCCTTCTAGAAGCCTAGCATCATATCACGAAACTCTCCACGTTACTTCACATCATCCCCAACTTCCCGAAATACAACAGCCCCAGTGGAGGTAATGAGCCACGTTCAAATCTGGTTACCGGACTTGCCACGGTATCTGGCATTTATCACCAGTTCCATTGCCATCAGTTATCCTCGGCCATATTTCTAATGTCCGAATAGCTTTCGCAGGCTGAAGATAGTGAAGTGGATGTGGTTGGTGCACCTCCACGGCCCACTAGCTTACGT